CCCCCCCCCCCCCCCCCCCCGCATCGCGCAGCAAGGGGCCTTTAAAAGGAACCGGAAGTGACGTGTGATGAGACGGCCGCGCGGGTACCACCGAGAACAAGGAGCGCTGGTTCCAGCTCGCGACTAGAGAGGCCCGCTTCCTTTGCCCCGCCCTTCCGCGGATTCCTGGAGTCACTCACCCCTGGACTAGTGCGGGCGGGAGTAGAGCGGGCCTGGCCGGAGGGGTGTGGCTCCGCCGCGAAGGCGGCGGCGGCTTTCAAAGTGTCGAGTGCCGGGCCCCGACGTGTCTCGGTTCCGCTCCCTCGGCGCACCGAGGTTGCCGGTCCTCCCCACCTCTCCCGACTCATCCAGATGACTTTGAGCCTTCCCCGCTGCCGCCTTGGCCCCAGTACGAGCAGGCCCGCGAGGCCGGGGAGCATGAGGGACTGCTTTTCTTAGAGAGCTGCTTTGCCGCACTAACATTTTCCTTAACGCTGTTAGAAGCTCTTAGAGTCCGCCACAATCATTTGAAATGACTAAGGTTTGGGAAGCGTGTTAAAGTCAACGCAAGGGTTCGTTTCCTTTAATGAGCTTCAGTCCTTGTAAATAGGATATACAAATGCCTTGAGTCATCTTTACGAGGTTTCTGAGTTGTGTTGAGGTGGTGAGTTTAGAGTAAAAAGAAGCACCGTTAGGCATGTAATTCAGGGTAAAGCTATTCATTAACTCATTAGTGCCAGCCTAGGTTTGAAAACTATTATTCAACTTGGAGTTTATGGCTTCCTCCAATATTCTTAAAAGAAAATGAAATTTCTAAGTACTTCTGTCAACAACTGCTGTTTATAGTATGTATCCAGGCTAGGTTTGGAAAAGTTGACAAAATACAGCATCTTAGCGGAGGTTGCCGCACACCTGTGAATCTCAGCACTCAGGAAAAGTTTATTATTTTCCCCACTGTACTTAAGTAAATTTATAGTAACTGAACATTGTCCGAAAGTCTAAAAGATGAAAATTATTTACTTACCAGCAGAGTTTGTATTACAGAATTGTTAAAACTCAAGAATATGGGTCAAATTCTGAATATGTCTTTAAAATAGGATGAAACTCCTGTACTAAGCAAATCACAGGCATGCTAAGAAAGTTCATCTTTGAGCTGAAGAGGTGGCTCAGCAGTTAAGAGCACTGACTGCTCTTCTAGAGGACCCAGGTTCCATTCCCAGCACCCACATGGCAGCTAACAACTGTCTGTAACTCCATTTCCAGGGGCTCTAACCTCCTCAGGTATTGCACAACAGAGGTGTACTTACTACACTCATACACAAAAAATAAAAAAAAAATTTAAAAATTAAAAAACGTCTTTAACAAAGTAGAAGTGATTTCCCATTTGTCTCCATATTCCAGAATATTAGCCAGTGATAAAATGGATCTTGTATTCAAAACAAGTATTGCAGGGCATGCTAGCATGCCTTTAGTCCCAGTAGAGACAGATCAATGTGAGTTCCATGTCTATGTGGTCTATATAGTGAGTTCCAGGCCAGCCAAGGCTACTTTGCAGGTTGGAGACATCTAAAATGACCTTCCTGAAGAGAGGTTTTTAAACTTTTGGCTTCAAGACTTCATGACGCCTTTGGATTAATTTAATTTTAAAGTATCAGAATCAAGTATCATTGACTTGGTCACCTTTTAGAAATCAGAAATTATGACTTTAATGGACATGATGAAGCCTGGAGACCATGAGTTGGGTCCCTGGAACCCATGTAAAGGCCAAAGGAGAGAACAGCTTTCACCAAGTTGTCCTCTGGGCTCTACACCTGTGCTGTGGCACACACACCCCACACACACACATACATCACAGACACACAAAAAATGTTTTTAAAACCCTTCAAATCATGGTCTGGATTTCTGCTTTGTTGTTGTTGTTGTTGTTGTTGTTGTTGTTGTTGTTTAGACAGGGTCTCTAACCCAGGCTGGCCTGGAACTCCAGCCTACACTGCCTTCACACTTGGCACTAGGGCTGCTTTAGCGTCCCAAGTGCCAGGGTACAGGGATGAGCCAGGACTCCTCAAAAAATGAAAATGAGCCAGGCATGGTGGCACACACCTTTAATCCCAGCACTTGGGAGGTAGAGGCATAGGCAGGTGGATCTCTCTGAAATCGAGACCAGCCTGGTCATACAAGGAGTTCCAGCTGGGGCTACAGGGAGACCTCCATCCCCCAAAAAAGCAAAAGTTAATATTTCTTAAGTACTTGGGTAGTTTCTAGTTAGATTTATTCATATCCAGCCATTCAACATACGGTATGAGTGCAATTCCTGTATTGGGAATATAAGTGACCAGAATAGACAAGGTCTCTAGTCTCATGGACCTGACGTTCTAATGGGCAAGACAAATGATAAGTGGATAATGTAATTTCAGGTAGTGATAAGAAAATCAGGTGTTAGAGATAGAATATATGGTATAACATAGAGGAAACTTCTGTTATAGGTCAGAGTTCGTAAAGAAATCACCAGCACCACTTTAAGAAAAGTAGCAAGGTAAATTATTATATCCACCGGCCAGGCTGTCTATCTCAGAGTAGACGCAGCCCTGATCATTTTCAGGTCACGGTTTTTATAGGATTACAGAAATATTATTCAAACAGGACACTTGTGAACCAATCATGTTTGTACAACATAGCAGAACTTTGAATCTATTCATCAACAACCAATCATTATACAGACAAGTGATACAGTCATATAACTTGGCAATCAACTTTGTAATTTTAAAATTAGCCAACTTCTTAGCCATAACAAGTATAGTAAGAAAGCTGAACTCAGCAGTTACCGGTGGTCATACAATAACAGGGTGGTCTTATACTGTGTGTCAAGGTCACCTAAAATAGCAAGCGAGTTACAGAAGTGAAAAGCAGTTAGCCAGATGTAGAATGTCTGAGATTAGCATGTTCCACTGGTTTGTGATTGAGCTAGTTCTTAGAACTCAAGGCTGTTTTCTCTTTTTAAATATTTCCCATAAGTGAAAAGAGGTTACTGTTAGAATAGCTATTCTGAGCAAGATGGAGTAACTTAGGTTAAGTTACTAATACAGTTCGACTTCAAGGAGGTAACAAGGAGGGCTCTAAAGGAAGTGAGAGGAAATGCCATATACAATGCTTAGAAAAGCCTTTACAAGGCAGAGGGTACATCTGAGGCAGGAGTGTACTTGACGCTCACAATGAACAATGGAGACCAGTGTGGCTGAGAACGAAGGAAAGAAAGTGTAATGGATCATACCTGACAGGTATCCAGGAATAAGGTCATCCAGGGACTTGAAAGCTTTGCTTTTATTTTTAAAGTTTATGAGAGAAGTGGTTGGAGCAGATTAAAGACACCACCTGACAAACTTTTAAATGGGTCATTTTGGATGCTTTGTAGACAGTGCACTGTGGGAAGGCATCAGGAAGATGAGTTAAAGCGCTTCTTTCTTGAGTTGACAATTTTAGCCTCTTGGATGATTTCCTCTGACAAGGGACAAATCTACAAAAAAAATATTACATGTAACTTCTAATTTTTCAAGAATAGCATTTTCTGCAAAGAAAAGCAACCTTTAATATCAGTAAGAGTAATTAAAATAAGACTTGGGTCAGGCATGGTGGCTCAAGGCCAGCCTGGTTTACATAGAGTGTTCCAGGCCAGCTGTGGCTACAGGAAGACCTTGTCTCAAATAAATAAAAATAAAAAGACTTGAGGGCCTGAGGATGTGGTTCAGTTGGTAGATGACCTGTCAAGCATGCATGAAGCCCTGGGTTTGATCCTCAGAATTGCGTAAAACTGGGTACACTGGCACATGCCTATAGTCCCAGCACTTGGGAGGTGGAAGCAGGAGGACCAGAAGCTACAGTGAGTTTAAGACTAGCATGGGTTACATGAAACCCTGTCTTGAATGAATGAATAAACAGATAAGATGTGAACTCACTATGAAGGTGTGTACTTGTAATCCCAGCCACTCTGAAGGCTGAGGCAGAAGAATCATTTGAATTCATGAATTTGAGACCAACCTGCACAGCATAACAACACCTTGTCTTTAAAAAAAAATCCTGGAAATGATATGACTGTAAGACCTGCAGAAGACTGATCTTGTCAACATTTTCTCAGGAAGAGGGGAGGGGCTTATAAGCCTACACCCCTCCCTGAGGTGCTATCAGCAATTATTGATTGCTAGAGAAGGAACAGTGGTGTTCCTCAGTTGTGTAGCCCCTGGTAAGTTGCTCTGGCTCAGTTAACCCTCCACCATGTTCATGCAAGCAAGCCCATTAAATGCAGTGCTACACCACGCGTGTGCGCACACACACACACACACACACACACACACACACACACGAAAGTAGAATAGGAACTTGTTGGAAAAGGGGTTCAGTGAAAGGGGGAAGAGGTCAAGAGAGGATGATGGGAAAAATCAAAGTATATGTGTGTATGAAATTGTGAATGAAATTTTGATTATTATTATTTTACATGTGTTTGTATTACCTGCCTGTACATAAGTGCATGTACGTAAGTGCATTGCATTACCATTCAGTGCCCTTGGAGGTCAGAAGAGGGTGTAGGATTCCACTGGAACTGGAGTTACAGTTGTTAGCCACTATGTGGGTGCTGGGAACCAAACCCAGGTCTTCTACAAGAACATCCAGTGCTCTTAAACCACTGAGCCATCTCTCTAGCCCTGAAAGAATAAAAATTTTAAGACACTTTTATTTATGTGTGTGTATGTGTATCTGTGTGACTGCCACATGTTGCAGGTGCCCATGGAGGCTAGAAGAGGGTGTTGGGTCCCTTGGGGTTGGAGTAACAGGCCATTGTGAGCTGCTGAATATGGGTTCTGGGAACTGAACCCGGGTCCTCTAGAAGAGCAGGCAGTGTTCTTAACCTGAGCTGTCTCCCCAGCCCCAAGAATGAATTTTTTTTCACTTTTTCAAAAAGTGAGGACAGTTGCCAGGTGTGATGGCTAATCCTGGGTGTCAACTTGACTGGATCTGGGATCTTGATTGGGTCATCTGAAGCTGAAAGTCACACCCTAAATGTGGGTGTTACCTTCTGATGGCAGTCCATATAAAGCCATGGCAGAGGAGAGTACTTGCTTTTTGCCGCTTGTCTTCGTTCTCGCTGGTGAGTTCAGCTTGCTGTTGTAGACTGAAGACTAGCCAATCTTTTGGAATTCATCAGACCTTTGGTGCCAGATTGGGACTACTGAGACATCTAGCCTTGTGGACTGAGTGGCTACAGATTCTCAGCCTCTCCAGTGTGGTGCAGCCATTGGACTACTTGGACTCTATCCTGTGAGCTAATCTGATAAATCCCTATATTCATTTTACTGGTTCTGTTTCTTTAGAGAACTCTGATTAATACACCAGGTATCACACCTGTACTTGGGAGCCAGAGGCGGGCAGATCTCCATGAGTTCAAGGCCAGCCTGGTCTACATAACAAGTTCCAGCTCAGCCAGGGCTATATAGTGATGAGACTCTGTCGCAAAACGGGTGAGAAGCAGTGAGATGACACAGTGGGTAAAGGTGCTTGGCACACAGACCTGGCAACCTGAGCCTGATCTCTAGAAGCTATGTAAAGGTGGAAGGAGAGAACTGGCTCCACAGAGTTGTTCTCTGACCTCCAGTCATGTGCCCACACATAAACATCATGCGCACACATAGATACACAATAATTTTTTAAAACATTTGTTTAGCTTTTCACATCACCTAAGCATTATTTGTCTCTCCTCTATCTTCCCCTGTATAGCCAAATATCATATTTAATAAGCCTTCTGAAAATGCACATATAATATAAATGTGAGTACTGATGACAGTATAACAAAAATCACAGTGCCAAGCAAGGGAAGCTTCCTTTGAGTTGTTGGTCAGGATAGTCCAAGAGATTTCCAAAATAACCCAGGCTATGGTCACAACTTAGGATTGCCTCCCAGAACTTGAAGGCAAAACCCTATTGCTGAAGAAATGACATTCTTCAGACACAGGACTTGGAGCAATCCAGCTGGAACGAACCTGGAAGCCTCCTCCTTGAAGGCTAGCTTTCATAGTATCAGAAAATACAATGCAAGCTGCCAAGGGAGAACACCAATTAGTACTCCTACCGAGCCGTAAAGCCTATGGGCCACAACAAAGATCGGCCCAACAAATTATCTCTATTGGTACAGTAGTTGCTTTTTTTTCTTGGGGGTAAATAAACACTGAAGAATTTAACTTAAAGGTGCTCCGGGGGGGGGGGTGGGACTCATGTATGATACTGTAAACATAGCCAAGTACAAATGCTGGAGAAGTTGTAGACCCTAGAGAAGAACCTACCTTTGTCATTTCCCTAGAACAAAGTAATTTCCTATTTTCCAAATATGTATTCTTGTATTTACAGACAAGTACACCTCTCACCACTGATCAAAAAAGCTTCTTTTTGCAACAGTTGGAGACTATTAAAAAGTTCCATAACTGGTCAAATGCAGAGAATAAATGACTGTGAGATTCCCAGCCCTCAGTGATACATCTACAGTGCAACCTAAGGCACAGAGAACATTGTAAAAGCGGGGGAAGAAAGAATGTAAGAGCCAGATAAAGAAGGCGCCTGCTGCTAATTAATACACACTAGACATGATAGGGAAGCTGCACCAAATCTCTCTAGTATGGTAGTCTAACAAGATCTGCATAGTGATAGAACCAGTTGATATGCCAAGGTGGATGAGGGAAATTTCATGGGGTCCCACCTCAGGTTAAAGAGCTACAGGCAATCAATGGATGCTGATCATTGATTGGGAGGGAGAATACAGTTTCTCTAGGAACTAGCCCCCTGAGAGGTTGTCTCATCCCAAGTAGGCTTTCCTAAACACAAGTACACAAGAGCACCACTAAATGGACATAGTAAATTACATATATGTATATATAACAATAGATATACACAGGAATGTAATATGTAACAATAAAGAAGAAAAATTGACATGGAGTGGGGAGCATGAGAGGAGTTGGAGGAGAGCTGGGAGGTATGGAAATACAATACTCATGTGTGAAATTCTCAAAAATAAAGTTTAAAAAGATTTATTTTTATTTTACATATATGAGTGTTTTGCCTGCCTGTGTGTAAGTGCTCTATGTACATGCTATGCCTGTGGCGGCCAGAAAAGGGTGTTGGTTCTCCTGGAACTGGAATTACAAACAGTTATTAGCCACCATGTGGTTGCTGGAATCCAAATTCAGTTCCTCTGGAAAAGTAATAAGTATTCTTAACCACTGAACCACCTCTCCAGCCCCTAATAATATATTTTTTAAAGACTTGGATTGATAGTAATGATATTTCCACTAAAACATTTTTGTTCAATTCATGGCTTGTTGGGCAACAGGATCAGGCTGGCCTCAAACTCTTGATCCTCCTGCCTCAACCTCCCAAGTGTTGGGATTACAGGTATGCACCTCCACATTCAGCCATTTTTGAGGGTTTTTTTCCCCCCTTTCTGAAACTTTGAAGTGAGATTTTTGTTATTCACTTTAGCTAGAGTTGTCTATAATTCTTTTTTTTTCTTTTTTTTTTTTCGGTCTTTTTAAAGACAGGGTCTTCCTGTAGCCCCAGCTGGCCTGGAACTCCCTATGTAGACCAGACTGGCCTTGAACTCACAGAGATCCACCTGCTTCTGCCTCCAGAGTGTTGGGATTAAAGGTGAGCACCACCACACCTGGCGAGGTATCCATAATTTTACATCACACATTACAATAAGAGTAACTAATTGAATCGTGTGGTCCAGCCTCTTGGAAACTCCAAACTTCTTCCTTTTCCTAGAGAGCAAGGTCAACAGCTTCAGCCATGGTTTTACTTCATAATGTACTTTTAAGTTCTTTTTACTGTTAATTTATTGAAACACTTAGTTTGCAGGAACTGCAGTTCAGGGAAATAACTACTGAAAGAGAACTTAGCAGAAGATTTCAGGTCTGCAAATTGAAGTTCAACTACCAAATATTGAACACCCAAGAAAAAGTTCAGGGACGGGTCTCTGTTCTGTAGCTATTTGGAGCCTGTTTCTTTGTTACAATGGCTCTGAGTCGTTTGATGTTTCTTATTCCCATTCTAGCAACATCAATAACCACTTCATACCAGGGATCAGAGCCCTCAGACTCAGTACAAATGCCACACTTTTATTTATGGCCTTATGTAGCTTAGGCTGGCCTTGAATTCCTGATGCTCCAGAGTGCTGGGATTACAGGTATGCATCGCAGACCCTATTTATGTGATGCTGAGCCTCTAACCCAGGGCTTCAAGCATGCTGGTCAAGTATTCTACAAGCTGAGCTACATTTCAAGCCCATTTGATTGGTGGACAGAGAGCCTCACCTATGCTGTCCCTGTAATGCCCAGAGGTGTTCTGCCTTAAAAAGTCATTCTTAGGGCTAGGTACCTCTAGACTCAGTCATATATATCTCAAAATCCTTTAGGAGGGACAGTGAATATAGGAGATGAATCAGAACAAAGCATAATGACTCATGTATGAAGCCTGTTAATTTGTGTGTTAACTTAAAATTTTAGTCATAGGACTGGCAAGATGGTTCAGCAGATAAAAGTGCTTGCTACGGAAATCTGACAACCTGAGTTTGACCCTTGGAACCCATGTAAAGTCAGAAGGAAAGAACCAACTTTACAGAGTTGTCTTCTGACCTTCACGTACACACAGTAACACACATGCCCACACATAAATCATACTTACACATGCAAATAAAAAGTAAACAGTTTTTCTTAATGTAATTAACTAAAAATATTCACACCAAAAATAATCCTGTTATAATTTAGGCCAGTTTGACTTGCCAGTTTCTGTAGATCAAAAGTATTCTAACAAAGGATATACTGGTTGTCAACTGTATTACCACTGCCCCTTTGGAACATCTCTGTACTGTGGAGGGAAGCCAGGAGCATTTCCCAAATGTCCTTCACTTTATGGTACTGAATTAAGAGTTTGCCAAGTGCGGTATGCCATAGTCCTTTCAGAAGGCTCTAGTAAAATACTCTACCATAGACTGGGTAGCTTATAAACAGCAGACATTTGTTTCTTACCCTTGTGGAGACTTGGAAGTCCAACACAAAGTGCTGGCAGACATCTGATGAGAGGACGCATGAGTTAATAGACAGCAAGTCTGATGAGTCGTTCTTGCTGTGCTCTATGGTGGCCTGACTCCATTCTGGGGGGGGGGGCAGGGGATGAGTAGGCACGAAGTCAATGACACAGACTCCGGGAGATGCTGCTCAGTAGCCGGCTGCCAGCAAGCTCATTTATTGCGTACAAAGGGCTTCCCTTTATACCCCCTGAACCTCCCCTATTGGCCCTAAGGCTGAGCTGTGTATTGTCCATTGGTGTGACTGTCACGTCATCTGTCTCTAGCCCGAGTGGCAGATATCAGGTTAGCAGTTTGGGGAAGTTGGCTGCGTAATGATAGCATGCGTGCACAGAGGTTACCAGGTCCAGTATTCTGGCAGATACTCATGGGCCCCCTCCTACATTTCCACCCTTTTGTTTTTAAAGGTAGCCCAGTGGGAGTCAGGATGCTGCCTGACATTATTGTGCCTGCCTCAAAATGG